AATGAATGTACACATGCGCTTTACACAATTGATGTGTGTATGGATTGTGATAAGAGTTGTATGAGCCCCTAATAAAATGATTAAAAAATAATAATAAAAAATAAAAATGTATTATGTCACTAATAGATAGCCCCAAAAGCCAGTATCACATTTAATTGGAAACTTTCTCAGAAAAATGCCAAGTGTCATCATTACTGTTTTACGTTCTTCTACATGTACTAGTTCAAATTATTAGACAAGTGTCAGAAAAAAATTTAAAAATTAAGGGGAGCAAATAATAACAATATATATAATTGATCAAGGATTCACGAAGGTGGGAGGGAGGGGAAAAAAGAGAAGCTTATACCAAGGACACAAGTAGAAAATGTTTTGGAAATGATGATGGCAACTTATGTACAAATACGTTTGATACAATTGATATATGGAATGTAATAAGAGCTGTAAGAGCCCCCAATAAAATGATTTTTTTAAATTAAGGGGAACAGCCACAGAGAATGTTGGCAAAATGGTATGGTATATAGGCTGTGAAGGATCCTTTCTTTAGGTCTGTACTTGTGTAAGCAGAATGGTTCCCCTGGCTCCAAAGGACCATCCTGTATGTACTTTAACTAAAACGCAGTCACAGCCTCCCTGAAGGACAATAACTACAAAACTAAGTCAAACAAAAACTTACCTCAAAATATTTCTTCTCAATTTCTGGATTTTTCCCCATTGTTCGTTGTTCATAACAACATATTATACAAGTCTCAGATCCGCAGAGATCTTTTAGGGTTTTTAGCAATGGCTCCAAAGACTGTACAAAAAGAAATATCGTTCTTGTTTAAGGCTCCATAACATTTCTACTGTAGGAGGGGGAGGAAGGACAGGAACTGTAGTTTGATTCAATCTCTGAATCAGCTCAACAAATATACTAAAGTAAAGCTCTCCCTAACTAATGACTGGTAACCTGTGCTTAATCAATCATCATTGTATCCATCTCGGTTTAAAAAAAAAGGATTTAAAAGAGGACATACATTTTAGAATCCCCCAAGGAAAATAAATGGAGTTGGCTATATACTTTTTTAAACGTTTAACTTTAATCTAACTTAGCTTGAAACTGAAACTATACCAAGTCTGAAAGTAACTTGAACACAGGTTTACTTAATAGTCATTATTTTTTAAATGTGTGATGTTTACTGATATTTAAAGAAAAGTCATTTCATAAATGTTCTCACCTAACAATGAATTCTTTTTAATACAACTTAATTCACAATGTTAAGGTTAACATATTCAGTGGGGCAGCTAAGGTGGAAAAAAAAGTTCGGCAAAATCCTTTATAGTTTTTAAGGAAGCCTGTAACAAAACACAAGTAACATTTTTCTCAACATAGTCACAGGCCTATGTTAATCATAAGGGTATGCATGTCATCCCTGGTGATCTGTGTCTTCTCTTTACTCCCCAGGCCTAAGTAATTCGTTTTCAGATATAGAACAGAATGGCAGATAGACCTGTCTTAGATTTTTGCCATGAAACCAGCCTAACAGGTGAATGCTCAATAAACAAGAAAATGTCATCAATTATACTCCATGACTAATGGTAACAAGAATGTGGGAAAATGTGTGCATGCAGTTTCTCAGAAAGAGGCTTCACAGGTTGAATAATTACCTCCTCATAGTATATGCAGTCGGCCATGAGTATGTAGTCTGGTGGGGAAGGAAAATCTTCTGTTTCTTCTCCCCTTAAAAATGTTGCACAAACATCTTTAACTATGGCTTTTTAATAGTTTTAAATATGCTTTTATAAAATACAAACCAAAACTGGGAGTCACTTTCGTATTAACCACGCATTTAATGAAACACAAGTTAAAGCACATTGCAAATTCGTTATCTTAAAACAAGCTTAAAGGCCATACAAACCATTTCAGTACCTTGGCTTGAACAGAACCAGTGACAAGGTGCTTGTTCATATTAATATTCATATTCAGCAACTCTTGCAACTCCTCAAGGTCGGTGACTACAACATCTGCCCTACAAGACAATGTCGATTGAAGGTGGTAGCCGAAGGGTGGCAAGGCAGTCCTACGGGTTTCCCGAGAGAAAGCAGCCTCCCTTCTCCCAACTCTTACCCGAGAGTAGCGGCCATCAGCCCCACGGCCCCGGTGCCGGAGCCCAGTTCCAGCACCGACCGCTGGCTCAGCGCGTGCGCACCGTCGCCAGAAAACCCGGGCGTTTCTAAGTACTTAGAAAGGACAATGGCAGCATCCCAAACCACGCAGCCCACGCCGCCAGAGCCATTTTGCTGCAGCCGCAACACTGTGCCATCCCGCTTCTCCAAAGTCCGCACAAAACCCCGCAGCGGGTCCTCTGCCGACTCCGCACTAGATGCCATTGCAACCTGGCAGGTCCCTACGTCGCGGGCGGTGACGTCACACGCACGCGCCCCGCACGCGCCGCCAGGTGGCGGGCGGTGCCCTCACTGCGCGCGCGCGGGCGCGCGGGCGCTCCGAGGCACAAAGCCCGGAAGGCAGCACTCCGGGGTGTGGCCGAGCGACCGGCGTCTCCCAAGCCCCAAGGGTGGCTTGCCTCTGCCCCAAAGCACAAATTTGGCTGACTGAACAAGCAGTTTAAAATCACGTTTCCACACAAAACTAGCGTTAGCATCTGCTCTTTTGAAAGGAGAAAACCACCTTCGGAGACCATTCACGTGGCTGGAGATCTGTTCCCGAGTAGTTTTACGGCACGCACCGCCAGGGATTGCAGCCCAACACGTAACCACGAGGGCTCCCAAACAGATTTTACTTGAGGGCTTTACTCTCATGAATGCTTAACAAGGGCTGCTAAAATCTCGCAGCTTTACATGTATCAGCCAAGACAAAAATTATCCCTTAAATTATCTGAGATGTTATCACTAAAATCGCACAAAATATTGAAAATAATGTGAGCATATTATCCCTAAAAGACCAACCCTCTCCCCACTTTTGCTTCTTAAAAGGAAAACACACATTTTAAAAATCGTTTACAAATTAAGACTGGGGTGATTTATTAATCTTGTTAAAAACTCTGATACAAAGCACAGTAAAAGGCCACAGACCAGTAAATAAACAACGTGGCTTTTGGCTACTTTACAACTTCTGCTACGGCACTTTCATCAAAACAGATACTTCATTTCTTTGAATGAAGATGTCCAAATGGCAAGTAAATGTCTATTCATTTCTCTGATTAAAAAGATTTAATAAAACTTGAAATACCTGCTGATTTACCAGTCTAGAAAATACATATTTTTTAAAATTTCAGTTAACACGAGATTTATAAAGAAAGTTATCAAGTTTTGAAGGCAAGACAGATTTGGTTCCTATGCCTTATGAAACTTTTTCTCTGAATTTATGAGTTAGTAAAGTAGCAGATTGTATTATAAGCCTCAAGTCACTTAAGTTTATACAGGTTATTAGCATTATCTTCAAATATACAATATAAACAAAACTGTACATACATGACAATATTAACTTTGTTTTTCAAAAACAATAGGCAACTCATTAGCTAAAGACACCTTGGTCTGCAAAACCAAAAGGCACATCTGAATGACATACATGCGATATAATGGGCCCTTTTTTCCTTTCAATAATTGAGTTAGGTAGTCTTTGTTTACATTTTGACAAGATAATAAACACATTGCACTCTGTTTTCATTCCATTCATGTTTGTCTTCAGCAGCAAATACTGGCATTTAAGACATGGCATTAAAAAGTTTTAAGAACAGTGATTCACAATTGTGATTCACAATTCCCCTAGATGTGTGAAAAACAAAACACAGAAGATGGTCAAGGAGGTTTAAAAAGCAGAAACACTACACTCCCCCCCTATATTTATGTAAGTTTGTTGCCTTAAAAAGGCCTCTATTACTCCAATTTGAAAAATTCCACAAATAACACTAGCCCCTTTCAGTGCAATCAGTCACTTTAAACTGTAAGTTAGCACGGTTTGCAGTGCAAATATAAATTCTTCATACTGGCCTTTTGGCTAAGGTGACCAGATTTTAACATTGGTAAAGTGGGACACCATTGATAAAACTCATATCCTGGCGAAATAGCCACATGGCAGCCAAAAACTGTATACCCTAGCTTGTCGTGCATTCTTTCAAAAAATCGGGACTTTTTAAAATCGCCATGGGACGCAGGAAAAATTGTTAAAAATCGGGACTGTCCCGCCAAAAGCAGGCTGTCTGGTCACCTTACTTTTGGCAGCACTGAGGATCTAAGACAAGGCAATGATACTGATCACCTGAGGATAATGGTGAAGAACATTTGAATTTTTCTTTTTCCAATTTTTAAAAGCTTATTTGATCAGTAGCAGTTTTTGTAAGAGCATTATTTGTAAAAAGTACTAAAATACTATGCCTTTCTCAAATAAATTAAAAAAAAAAAGGAACTTTACAAATACCATTCCAGTGTTAATGACTACATATGGCTAAGGTCATTGAGGAGTCTCTGCATTTTCTAGCAAAGGCAGTCTGTACAAAGGAGGGTGCGAGAGCTCCCGTTTGTAAGTCTTTGGTGGCAGTTTCGGCAGGTGTGGGCTTGAATTCTGCCTTGGTGGGACAGGGGGAGCTGGAGGGTGGACAGGGTGACTGTGGCCAGAACTGAGCAAGTGGCATCGACGCGGTATTCTCGGAGAGGGTGTGGTTGGAGGAGTGTTTGGAGAATTTGGACATGTACTGGTGTCTCTGAACCAGTCTGGATCTCTGTGGAGGTGTCCCATTGGAGGTGGCTGTAGATTAAATGGACAGTTGATGAAGTGTTCTGGAGGTCGCAGGGGAACTGGAGGAGGGGTCTCAGGAAGAGGATCTCTGGGCGGTGGTGGAGGTGGGCTGTGCAGAGGCCCATCAAATGCACCAGCAGGAGCAATAACTCTGGGTTTTACCTTTGGAGGAGGAGGCTGTCTTGGTGGAATAGCCGGAGGGTCATCATCAGATTTCATATTTCCCTCAAAAATGAAAATTAAAATGTAATTAAACTATATTGCTATCTTCCCAAGACAGTTGTAAGACAAAATTTCTTAAAGTTTAAAAAGTAATTATGTGTTAACAGGTTGAATTCAGAGATTCATAACAGCCTAATCCAGCTTACTTATCTGGTTTATGAATATACCCTAAGTTTCTCAGGACCCAGCTTAATGTTTTTAGGTATGAAATGTTCTATCTTAGAATATACAGGCTAGGTGCTTTTGCACACATTTCATAAATTTAGGAATTATTCATTATTTATAATAATAGGCAAGTGAGTAAAATAATACAAAGCTTTCTAAGCACCAAAGAAGATGACCAAAAGGGTTTAGTGTCCACCTTCTGCTTACTGGCAAATACTGCTACTCCCAGTGGAGGTTAGAGCAATGGTCCTCAGAGTGTGGCCCCAGAGGAAGCACCACTAGGGAACTTGCTAGAAATTCAAATTCTCACATGCCAACCAACCGGTGGAATCAGAAACACTGCGGATAGGATGCGACACTCTGGGCTACCAAGGCCTCCGGTGATTCTGATGCCACCTGAAGTGTGAGGAGTACCACCATTGGAAAGCTGAACAACATTTCCAATACTAACTATTTCGGAGTACTGAGTACTTCTAAGTTTCAGTAAAATCTACACAGACTCTTTCTTAGGAAAGATACCAGGAAGATTAAATACTTCTTAAAATCACTTTTCAAATATAACCCACCCAATGTTATGATTTTTATGTTTAAAAATCATAAAAGGTAGCTAAGTTATAACAGACCAAAGCTTTATAAGAAAGAGCACAATTTTAAAATCCACAACTGGGAAAATGCTGTGCCGAACCCAAGCCCGGTAGACTACCTTGGAATTTGAAGCATCCTGATCAAACTTTTTCCGAGGCGGCAGGGGAGGAGGCACCAGTGGCTCTTCACTTAGTTTATGTAAACTACCACACGAGCTGAAGAACGACTCTGCGGCGAGAAGAGGAGCTCAGCCACAATTCAAAGTACAATCGTAAGACCAACATTTAGCAATCATTCTACAAACTGACATTTAAAGAAAAGCCATTTCATAGACTTAATAAGTCTTGTCACATAACAGTGCATTCTTTATAACAGAGCTTCACTCTTCCAGTCCTGGCTAACTAATTCATTGCAGCCGGTGAGGACCTTTGCTATGGCATTTGTGTACCTCACTGTCCAGTTCTCTGTCCCCTGCATTAAACTAGAAGCTCTTGAAGGGGAAGTATGTGTCTTAATTTTGTACCCCTAGGACCTACCACAGTGCCTAGTAATGAGTACTTTCTGATTGCTTTCCAAAAGAGTCATACTAAATTTATTTGGAGTAATTAACGTACCTTTTAACAGACTTTCTCATACTTAGGAGGGAAAGTGCATTTTAAGGACTAACAATGGTAGCTCATAATGATTCGCTGAAACTTCTGATTTGTGGTGGGTGACACAACAGTTATCTGTTTCTTTACGAGATGACTGTTCCTTTATGTGAATGACAGAAGATTCACAGTGATTGTGTGACAAACTATGATCAAATTAAAAATGATAAAATAGTGCTTTACTTAAATAACTGCCTCAATTAATAAAATCAGATAAGAAAATAGGCCAAGGGCTAGCATTATAGTCTTCTGGGAAGGTGAACTGGAAAGGGTGGGTAAGCTGAAAAGTGCTCACTCAAGTACCAAACAATGTACTTGACAGAGATCTCATTTGATCCCACGCAAGCCTGGAGTTGCTAAGGGATTTGTTCAAAGTCACGGACCCTAGAACACAGAGAGGCTGTAAACCAAAAATAAAAAAAAAA